CCCCCCCCCCCCCCCCCCCCCCTCACTGACTTTTTTTAAATTATTTTTTTAGATTATAAAACATCAGCACCTGACGTTTTCAGTAGCTGTTTGTTTATCCCTCGCGCGCATTTTGAGACAAGTTTAAGGATGGTCAGTTACTATGGTTACGACATGACGTCGTAAGTAGCAGGTTGTCAAGCCATTTTTGAGTGAAAATGCATGTTCTTTCAACTTTTTTCAACAATAAAAGTAAAACTTGTCAATGAAATGATGCAAAGGACTTATTTATGTGTTATTTTACATCTGAAGCACAGAAAATTACCATTTATCGCGATTTTAACCTGATTTCTAATTCTTGGTGAAATCCAAGATGACGACCATTGTTGGTGACGTCACAGGCCTCCAGCAGCGCCACCACCCATTAAAAATAAACCTCATCTTGTTGAGTAGATCAAAGGCTTTCCACTGAAAGCAAAATCGTTTCGAAACACTGCAAATTATCAAAAACTCTGGGGAGGGGTTCCATCCACCCCTCCCCCTTATACCACGGTTGGGGTATGAATTTGCTTGTATGTCCGAGGGTTAACCTCGTTAAATTAATTTGAAGTATTTGTTTCAGTCATTTGCTTTAAAGCCGAGGGGAAAAAACTGAAAAGGAATTATTAAGATTATGATGATGGTGATTGTTATTATCACCAATATTTTCTTTTTTTTTATGAGATTATTACAATGCAATTTTCCTTTGCCAAATTACAATTTGCCGGTTAAGCAGGTTACACGTCGAGAAAAGGGGCAATCATCTGTAGTACTACTCAGTCAGTTTCGGGGGAGTAAAGAAATAACCGTAAACAGCGTTAAGTTCTTTCCCCACGAAAATTGTTTGTATTTTTCCTAAGTTAAAATTGATAAGTGTAGCCGTGGCTAATATAGAGCTCCACAGTATACAGTATGCCCTTTGATTTACGTTTTTTTGACGTTATTAATTAGAGAGATTTAGAGTTACGTTTACGGCAAACCGTGGATTTGTACCACGTGAATAATTGTTCCCTTTACTTCTCGAGCTTTCTCGTTTGCTGTTAAATAAATCTACAAAAAATTGTTAGTTTCAAGTTAGTTTTATCCATAAGAATTGCTTTGAGCTGTTTTCATTTTATCTGCATATTTTCTATTTTGAGAAATTCTCAACTTGAATCTGTAGACGTTTCCCATTTGCCGTTAGCGTGACTATAAATCTCTCTATGTAATATCTTCTGACAAAAAAATGACTTAAATGAAAACATGCTTTTTTACCAAACGCCCCATTGAGGACAGCTATTAAATAACGAACTTCTTTCTTTGGGGAAATCCAGATATATAGACGCTACTTCAGCAGTTGTGTTGACATCAAACTTTCAGCGCATCCCTGTAAAAAAAGTAACAATTGATACATTAATTAATCTTTCATTTCAAAACAAAAAGAGTTAAATTTTAGGATGCCATGGATGATGATATGAAAAATAGCAAAATGAAAAACATTTAACATGTTAGACATATTTGTTCGTTTTGGAGCTATGAATTTCTCTACATTTAGTGCTAGTCCTGTAGAAAAACGAAGGAACTTATTCCCTATGTATATCTCTTATCCACACCTGACCTAAACTATTTAACAATTGAGAACATTAAGCAATGCCTAGTGTTCAATTGATTTTTGAAATGTGTTGGTAGCCGGTTAGGAATAGCATTTACTTGAGTGAATCCATAATAATTTAACACTTACCACCCAACCCATCCCTACTTTGTACATATTTTTATTCTTTTTATTATCAAGTCTGTCATTTTCCCTCTTATCTGAATTTGACAAAAATGGTTCTGGCTTTTCTTTTTGAGCCTTCTGTTACTAGAACAGCAAGAAAAAAAATCTCCACTTACGACTTCTCAATGACTCTTTTTCCAATTCAATCTTAACGTCATCGCCCATCAGAACAAAAGGAGCCCAGTACTTTGGAGCAGAATAATCCTGGGAGTCTCGAAGACATTTCATGGCCCTCTGAAGAGCAACACTTGCACTTTCCCCACTTCCAAGTTGTTGGTAGAAAGACTTCATAAACATCATTGTGGCTTCGTCATCAATTGCCCAAAGCGCCGCCAGCACGGAACGAGCACCAGCAAACAAGAAAGCACGTGCCATACCGACCACACCCTCAGACGATACCTCTCCTTGCCCACTGTAGGGGCAACTAAGCACGACCAGTCTCGCTCGCAGCTTAATAGCTTGTATATCAGACATCTTCAAAATATAGTCCTCCTCCGTAGGAGTGTGGGATTCCCATCGGGGGTCTGGAGCCAAAACGATTTCTCCGGTTTCCCGCCTTCCGTGGGCTGCAATATGAACCAAAGACACTGACTTGATTCTCTGAAGCAAGGCTTCTTTGGTGGCATCTTCACCTGTTAAAGGCTGACTCTTTAGAATTTCTCCAATCATCTCCACTTCCATTCTTGCGTACTTCAGAGGATCATAAATGGGGTTCCCCCTTTTATCTGTAATTTTCTTCAAGCATGGATCTCCAACAAGCAGGGCTCCACTTTTACTGTGGTATTCAATTGGAGAATCTGTGATGACTTTCAAACTTGTCAGTGAGGGAACAGTCCGGATCCTTAAAGTTTCACTCAGGGCTGCCCAAGGAGCTTTAGACAAAGCGCCATCAGGAACTACAATTAAAAATTATTTTTTTAGATTATAAAACATCAGCACCTGACGTTTTCAGTAGCTGTTTGTTTATCCCTCGCGCGCATTTTGAGACAAGTTTAAGGATGGTCAGTTACTATGGTTACGACATGACGTCGTAAGTAGCAGGTTGTCAAGCCATTTTTGAGTGAAAATGCATGTTCTTTCAACTTTTTTCAACAATAAAAGTAAAACTTGTCAATGAAATGATGCAAAGGACTTATTTATGTGTTATTTTACATCTGAAGCACAGAAAATTACCATTTATCGCGATTTTAACCTGATTTCTAATTCTTGGTGAAATCCAAGATGACGACCATTGTTGGTGACGTCACAGGCCTCCAGCAGCGCCACCACCCATTAAAAATAAACCTCATCTTGTTGAGTAGATCAAAGGCTTTCCACTGAAAGCAAAATCGTTTCGAAACACTGCAAATTATCAAAAACTCTGGGGAGGGGTTCCATCCACCCCTCCCCCTTATACCACGGTTGGGGTATGAATTTGCTTGTATGTCCGAGGGTTAACCTCGTTAAATTAATTTGAAGTATTTGTTTCAGTCATTTGCTTTAAAGCCGAGGGGAAAAAACTGAAAAGGAATTATTAAGATTATGATGATGGTGATTGTTATTATCACCAATATTTTCTTTTTTTTTATGAGATTATTACAATGCAATTTTCCTTTGCCAAATTACAATTTGCCGGTTAAGCAGGTTACACGTCGAGAAAAGGGGCAATCATCTGTAGTACTACTCAGTCAGTTTCGGGGGAGTAAAGAAATAACCGTAAACAGCGTTAAGTTCTTTCCCCACGAAAATTGTTTGTATTTTTCCTAAGTTAAAATTGATAAGTGTAGCCGTGGCTAATATAGAGCTCCACAGTATACAGTATGCCCTTTGATTTACGTTTTTTTGACGTTATTAATTAGAGAGATTTAGAGTTACGTTTACGGCAAACCGTGGATTTGTACCACGTGAATAATTGTTCCCTTTACTTCTCGAGCTTTCTCGTTTGCTGTTAAATAAATCTACAAAAAATTGTTAGTTTCAAGTTAGTTTTATCCATAAGAATTGCTTTGAGCTGTTTTCATTTTATCTGCATATTTTCTATTTTGAGAAATTCTCAACTTGAATCTGTAGACGTTTGCCATTTGCCGTTAGCGTGACTATAAATCTCTCTATGTAATATCTTCTGACAAAAAAATGACTTAAATGAAAACATGCTTTTTTACCAAACGCCCCATTGAGGACAGCTATTAAATAACGAACTTCTTTCTTTGGGGAAATCCAGATATATAGACGCTACTTCAGCAGTTGTGTTGACATCAAACTTTCAGCGCATCCCTGTAAAAAAAGTAACAATTGATACATTAATTAATCTTTCATTTCAAAACAAAAAGAGTTAAATTTTAGGATGCCATGGATGATGATATGAAAAATAGCAAAATGAAAAACATTTAACATGTTAGACATATTTGTTCGTTTTGGAGCTATGAATTTCTCTACATTTAGTGCTAGTCCTGTAGAAAAACGAAGGAACTTATTCCCTATGTATATCTCTTATCCACACCTGACCTAAACTATTTAACAATTGAGAACATTAAGCAATGCCTAGTGTTCAATTGATTTTTGAAATGTGTTGGTAGCCGGTTAGGAATAGCATTTACTTGAGTGAATCCATAATAATTTAACACTTACCACCCAACCCATCCCTACTTTGTACATATTTTTATTCTTTTTATTATCAAGTCTGTCATTTTCCCTCTTATCTGAATTTGACAAAAATGGTTCTGGCTTTTCTTTTTGAGCCTTCTGTTACTAGAACAGCAAGAAAAAAAATCTCCACTTACGACTTCTCAATGACTCTTTTTCCAATTCAATCTTAACGTCATCGCCCATCAGAACAAAAGGAGCCCAGTACTTTGGAGCAGAATAATCCTGGGAGTCTCGAAGACATTTCATGGCCCTCTGAAGAGCAACACTTGCACTTTCCCCACTTCCAAGTTGTTGGTAGAAAGACTTCATAAACATCATTGTGGCTTCGTCATCAATTGCCCAAAGCGCCGCCAGCACGGAACGAGCACCAGCAAACAAGAAAGCACGTGCCATACCGACCACACCCTCAGACGATACCTCTCCTTGCCCACTGTAGGGGCAACTAAGCACGACCAGTCTCGCTCGCAGCTTAATAGCTTGTATATCAGACATCTTCAAAATATAGTCCTCCTCCGTAGGAGTGTGGGATTCCCATCGGGGGTCTGGAGCCAAAACGATTTCTCCGGTTTCCCGCCTTCCGTGGGCTGCAATATGAACCAAAGACACTGACTTGATTCTCTGAAGCAAGGCTTCTTTGGTGGCATCTTCACCTGTTAAAGGCTGACTCTTTAGAATTTCTCCAATCATCTCCACTTCCATTCTTGCGTACTTCAGAGGATCATAAATGGGGTTCCCCCTTTTATCTGTAATTTTCTTCAAGCATGGATCTCCAACAAGCAGGGCTCCACTTTTACTGTGGTATTCAATTGGAGAATCTGTGATGACTTTCAAACTTGTCAGTGAGGGAACAGTCCGGATCCTTAAAGTTTCACTCAGGGCTGCCCAAGGAGCTTTAGACAAAGCGCCATCAGGAACTACAATTAGTTCATCACCATCAAGCAAGTCTTCAATGGGACCAAGAACTGCATCATATAATGGCTGTAAAAAGTTGGTGCTCTCCTGTGATGGCGCCGATGTTTGATTGTCGTCTCGAGTACTTGAGGGAGTTGAGTCAATGTTTTTCAAAACAGTGTCTAAAAGGAGAGTAAAGGAATCTTCGTGTTGACGACCAATTTGTATCTCCGCTTGCTTAAAAATAGGGTTGCCCTCTTTTCCCAACACCCAGATATTGATTGTTTTCAAATGAAGGGCAAGAAAAACTGTTAAAACAGTTGTCTTCCTTGAAATATTTCCGACTTCTTCTTCAGATTCAATTGACCTGGGAGAAAGTGATGTAAGGCCATAAGTTACTTTTAAGGCATCGAGCAAAGCCTGTGCCCGTCCCCTCTCAGCAGCGTATAAAGCCTCATCATTCCTTTCAAGCATTACTAAAACCTGCCATAAATGAGTATAGGCAAATTGATGTTTCGTACGGAAACTTATTTTCAATTGATCTTCCGAGATAGACCCGGCTCTAATAGTGTCATAGACTTTTACACTGCATCTAAAATGTTCTAAAGCCTCATTCAAAGAATCTGAATATAAAAAAGATCGACCCAAACCGCTGTGGGCACATGCTTCTGCCATCCTGTCACCGATTTCCTCGGCAATAGTCAGGTGTTGCTTGTGACACTCTATTGCTTCCTTCAAGTCGTGGAGATGTGTATAACAACTTCCGAGGCGGCAATAAGCATGTCCTTGTCCATCCCTGTCACCGATTTCCTCGGCGTTGCTCAGGGATTGCTTGTAGTACTCCATTGCTCGTGGCACGTCGCCGAGGGATTTATGAACGTCGCCAATGTTTAAATAGGCATGTCCTTTTTCTTTTCTGTCACCGACTTCCATGGCAATGCTCAAGTGTTTCTTGTGGCACTCCATTGCTCGTGGGAATTCTTGAAGGTTGTGATAAGTAACGCCGAGATTGGCATAGGCTATGCCTTCCCTTGCCCTGTTACCATCTTCCTCGGCAATGATGAGGCATTTATTGGTGTACTTTATTGCTCGGTGGTATTCGCCGAGAACTAAATAAATATTGCCGAGATTGCCATAGCCTTTCCCTTGCACTGCCCTGTGACCAACTTCCTTGGCAATGATGAGGCATTTATTGTTGTACTCTATTGCTCTTTGGAATTCATTAAGGCTGCGATAAGCGAGGCTGAGAATGTCATAGGCGTTGCTTTCCTCTACCCTGTCACCAACTTCCTTGGCAATGATGAGGCATTTATTGGTGTACTCTATTGCTCTTTGGAGTTCATTAAGGCTGTGATAAGTAGCTCCGAGATTGCTATAGGCCTTGCCTTGACATACTCTGTCACCAACTTCCTTGGCAATGCTGAGGTGTTGATTGTGGTACTCTATTGCTCGTTGGAATTCTTCAAGACTGTGATAAGCAAGGCCGAGATTGCCATAAACACATCCTTCACCTGCCCTGTCACCAACTTCCTTGGCAATCTTGAGGTGTTGATTGTAGTACTCTATTGCTCGTTGGAATTCTTTAAGGCTGTGATAAGCAAGGCCGAGATTGTCATAGGCACGTCCTTCACCTGCCCTGTCACCAACTTCCTTGGCAATCCTGAGGTGTTGATTGTGGTACTCTATTGCTCGTTGGAATTCTTCAAGGCTGTGATAAGCAAGGCCGAGATTGCCATAGGCACGTCCTTCACCTGCCCTGTCACCAACTTCCTTGGCAATCCTGAGGTGTTGATTGTGGTACTCTATTGCTCGTTGGAATTCTTCAAGGCTGTGATAAGCAAGGCCGAGATTGCCATAGGCACGTCCTTCACCTGCCCTGTCACCAACTTTCTTGGCAATGATGAGGTGTTGATTGTGGTACTCTATTGCTCTTTGGAATTCTTTAAGGCAGTGATAAGCAAGACCGAGATTGGCATAGGCTTTGCCTTGCCCTGCCCTGTCACCAACTTCCTTGGCAATGATGAGGTATTTATTGCTGTACTCTATTGCTCTTTGGAATTCATTAAGACTGTAATAAGCAAGACCAAGATTGGCATAGGCTTCGCCTTGCCCTGCCCTGTCACCAACTTCCTTGGCAATGCTGAGGTGTTGATTGTGGTACTCTATTGCTCGTCGGAATTCTTCAAGGCTGTGATAAGCAAGGCCGAGATTGCCATAGGCACGTCCTTCACCTGCCCTGTCACCAACTTCCTTGGCAATCCTGAGGTGTTGATTGTGGTACTCTTTTGCTCTTTGGGAGTCACCGAGGGAATTGTAAGCGCAGGCGAGCTGGCAATAGGCACGTCCTGTACCTGCTCTATCACCGACTTCGTCAGCAATGCTCAGGTATTGCTTGAGGTACTCTATTGCTCGATGGAAGTCCTCGAGGAAGCAATAAGCTCTGCCTAGATTGTAGTAGGCTTCTGCTCTCTCTTCCGTGTTTTTATTGATTTGCGCAATTGTAAGACGCTTGTTTTGTTCAGCTATATCTTGTAGTATTCTTTCTGCCATTTCCAAGTTTTAGTATTCAAAGCGGAACTGTTTCTTGGCTTTAAGGTCTCTTTGAGGAGCGTTGAAGTGGAGTAAAACAAAAATAATTTTCATTAATACATTTGAAGTCTTAGAATACACTGTATGTTCCCATTAGACAGATAAGACATGACAGAACTTTCCACTCCTTCCTTTCTAGATTTACTCGAACTGACGCTTAGCCGGAATTTTTTTTGACAATTTCTGAATATTGGTGTTATAAGACAATATTTCTGGACTCCCCGTGGACAATTACTTCGAAATAAACATATAATTCCTGTCACAAACATCGCCGAGCTTGTTGAGTATGTTCTACCCCCACACAACAATGACGTAACCAAGCCTCGTGCGCTGAATACGTTTCTAGATGGAGTTGCAGAGTTAGGAGTCCATAAAGGTTTAATCAAGAACAAAAAGTTAACTAGGCGATTTAATAGAAAAGGAGAAAGGCTACCGAAATGCAGAAAATACTTCCGATAACGAGAGTAATAATGAGGAGAGTTCATTGGATATTAAAAAATTAGGAAGGGAAGGATGAGGATGAGGAGGAGGAGGAGGAGGAGGAGGAGGAGGAGGAGGAGGAAGTGGCGTCTGAGAATGGTGTTGAAGTTGACTCCCAAGAGAGCTACAACGACACTGAAAACGACCAGTCAGGAAACAAAAAAAAGAACATTGTGAGAATACTAAAGTGTACGGAACATTGATCATGAAATGTCCTAACTGCTTTTGGTACGATTACTACAAGATTTGTCCGATATGCGATCACCAGATCCCCAAGGAGAGAAATTACATCAAAGAGGGCTTTCTTTGGTGTCACGATTGTGGAGCAATTACACACAAAAAAGCGAAGACGTTGGAAACCAATTTTTATTCCCCCTCTAAAGAGGAGAACGAAGAAGAGGATTAATTTTTCATTCCTTTCAAATCAGTGTGTGTCATTGGTTTTCAATAAAGTTTTTAAAACTGTGTCTCGTGTCTGGTTTTATTGTGAGCGTTTATTAGTCGCGTGTTTTAATTGATCCTTCGTACGTTTTTTATTGTGTTGTGTTTTTATAATAATAAGTCAAAGTTCAAAAAATGAGTCCGCTGCCCGGCGACAATAACATTACATGCAAATTTCAGAGAGACTACAAACTAAAAAACCACGACAAATTTTAAATTGTTTGCCTTACATAGAGCAGAAATAAAAGCGATTTAACTTATAAATAGTAATTTTCCTGAAAACCTTTCTGGCAGTACAATTCACATAGTCCCAATGAACATTGAAAAATTTAAAAGGCAGCTGTTCGAGGAAAGATGTCTTGACTAAATAAGTTCGTGACCTCAATTTCTTATTAATCGATAGAAGACTTAGTTTCACAAATTTATGCACTAAGCAGGTCTTTCTTCGTTAGCTATTGTAATAAAAATGAAAATTGTTATAAATCTGTGACGTCTACAACATGAGAGATCCACATTTAACACAAATTATCCTGAATATCCGGCGTTGCTTGTGTGAGGAGGGGTAAAGGTGGGGGTTTTGGAGGCGGGGGAGGGGTGGAGAGGAAGTGGAAGAGAGTAGCGGAAAAGGGAGACAACGAAGGTAGAGAAACACAAATCGGTCAAAACAATACTCTAGTCGGACGTTTTGCTTAACATGGAACAAACATACTTTGCTTCGCGGTCGCAAACCGGTCTAAACTTATTATTAATTATTTCTAAGTAAAAAAGAGAGGGAGCAAAACTACAGCAGGAAATCAAAATGAACCTTGGAGAAATATCTGATTAGAAAAATTCCAAGTTAAAGGAGATTATTTCTTACCTGAACGATTTGATCTCTGTGAAGAAATTTTCAACGGAGTTTTGAAGTGTTCTCCAGTGGTTGGATTTAAATGCAGAGGACTATCAAATATATAGGGTGGCTGATAGAAACAAAAAAAACCACAAGACAACAACAACAACAACAAAAATAGAAAAAAATAAACCCAAAACAGAAACACATAAGACAAAAGGGAAACCCAAAACAGAAAAACACTAGCAGAAAACAGAATCACAAATGCCCAAACGGAAATAAGCATCCCCAACAGGAAACACACTAAAAAAAATACAAAATTAAACCGCAAAACTGAAACAGAATCCAAAAATACAAACCATAGCCACAAAAGACGAAAACAGAAACAAGGAAATAGTGTAAAGCTATACTTTCTCATGTTTCATCGTCTTTTTTTGAATAGGCGTTTTACGGTTTTTTTAGGGAGAGCATGATCGCAGGCTATTATTATCTAGGAACATCAAACTCTTCTCCCCGTCGCCTTTCGCTCCAGGTGACCGGTATTTTCGACTCTGGGGTCTCCGGTGAATTTTAGCCCGCCGGGGTCAGAACCACGTGGGGTACGTTTCTCGATCGTCCGGTACCTTTTCTAGTCCAAAGCAGACAACCTAACGAGAGACATAACTACTAACGTATGGCGTTAAAATTACAGAGATTGACTCTGAATGAACGTAAGTTGCTCGAGATTAATACGCCTGACATTAGGGAGGCGACGGTAGCGAAAGGTCATTTATAAAGCTATTTGGCATACTTTTAAAATTCGTGGAGGCTATCTTAATTGTCTAAGTTGGTCAAATGTAGATAATTTTTCCTTGGAAATAAAGTTTTAGAGAGCACTGACATCAAAGAGTAAATAGAGAAAAAGAAACTTGTCTTTGGGTGCTTATGTCCTCCATATAACGTAGTGATGGCGAATAAAAATTTAAAAAAACGTGCCATGCACGTGCAGAGTTATTGTTTTGTTCATTGAACCTATATCAAGGGTTACCCTCCCAGTCCGAAAAATGCAGCAGTTCAGAATAGACTGGGGCCACGGGGCCTAATTGGCTATTTACGCGATGGCTTGTTTTTGCTACTAAAGGAATTCTTTCATATTTAAATTTGGTAATCCCACTGAGGTTTAAAAAACAAAAGCCCTAATTTGCACAAGAAAGCAAAACCCTGAAGGAATCTGGCACCTTTTTAGAATCCTTCAGAATTTGGCCTTCTCATACAAATTAAGGCTTCTGAATTTAACGAATTAAATATGAGAGAAATGAAAAAAAAAAAAAAACGAAATGATTCTGGTCATATTTGTAGTGACGCTATCGTGAAAAGCCCCGTCCACACAAATCCGGATATTTTTAAAAGCGCATTTATATATATTTTTCACATGAATCGGCCTTCTGTCTTGTATTCCGTCCACACATGAAACCAATGAATCCTCTCACCGAAACATTAAGCTGATTTAGCAGCAGGACGGGAGCGTCAGTTGACGACGGGAAAGCGCGCGGAAAGGACTGAACGCGACTTCTGGTGCTCAATTTGCTACTCTGCCATTGGTCAAGCCAGTTGTTTGATTTGCGCGCGTCGTCGTCAACTGACGTTCCCGTTCTATTGCTAAGTCAGCCTAATGTGTTGTTTAAGGCCTCGTCTACACGAATCCGGGTAAAAAGTTATGCAGTTTCAAAAATTAGTCTGGATTCGTGTCCACGTGGCCCTAAAACAGTTCAAGGTAGCTTTTGCTGAATCAGGTCAAGAATGTCCTTGTAAACCACGCTCGCAGTTTCTTCCACCTCATTCAACAGTTCATGGCGTCCATTTTTGTACACCTGCAAAGCAAGTTTTACAAGCAGTTGTGCTAATAATGAAATAATAACAGGTCGATTTAAAAATGACAACGGGACGAAAAATTGGCCGAAGAGGGAAAACTCTATATTATTCTTTAGACACCCGTTTGGAGACGAGAATTTCCTCTTTGGTGATTATTTTTTAAATTCTCATAACCTTTTCCCTTGAAAATGTGGTGTCATTGCTAGGAGAAAATAGATATTTGTCACTCTTGGGGTTAAAAGGGTTTAGACAAATCACGACTTTTGTTGGGATAAGTTCACAATAATTACGCTTGGAACAAAGCGGCCGAAACTCCTACCCCGGGCAGGACAATATCACCACATGAACAAACGCAGTTTTAAGACCGCCTCTTCCTTTTATCATCATATACCGTCAAGCGCCCTAACTATTCGTCGAAAATACCCATAGAGAGGCTATTAGTTCCCTCAGTGCTGTCAGTAAAGCAGCTCATTCGTGTACCTTAAATGTCTTGTCGTTAGTGGAAGAATTCTCATGTAAGTATTGTGAACCGTCAATCTTCACTAATTGATCCCCATCACCATGGACAAGTAGGTAAGGTGTTGTGAGCTTTGACAAGTTCCCCTGGATTTCATTCATTGCGTCTAATAGAGCTCCGACCCGTCTCACTTTCATTTCCTCATGCCAGTTTAGGCTATCATTGGCATACTTTTCAACCTAAAACAATAATAATAAGCAAGGCGCATTGTGTTATTGAAGTCCTAGACTTGCCACAAGTCGACCGCGAAGGGACACCGGTACTCAAGGAAATTTGACTTTCTGTAAGATTTATGGTTATTAAATGGATGGTGTAAAGAATTGAGTGACATTGAAATTTATACGGGGAGGCTCCAACCCTAAACAAGCACGACGAGCTCCTTCAACGATAAATGTGTAAGGATTTAGGCTTAGGGGTAGAACCTCCCCGCATAAAACATTGTTGAGTAGCCACCCCCCGCCCCCCTTCCACCGGGGGTATAATCTTAGGGTTAATTAATTGAACAGGACAGAATGACCCTAGACGAACCCACCGGCCCCAAGCGTTACTAGTTCATTGCACAATCATAAAGGATGGAAAGCATCAATTCCTGACACACAATTCCGAACGACTTGTCATTAACCATTAAACCGAAAAACTTTTATTCAGTCTCCACCCAAAATATTCCAGTCAGTGGTACGAAATGTCAAGTTTCGCGATCGGTTGGAGGGACTTGACACAGCCTCATTCAGCAACCTCCAAAAGTCACCAGAACATGTTCAGCATTGTCTTCGGAAATGCGGATAAAATGCACACGAAAGTCTCTCTCCTTGGACTCAGGAAAAGAGAGTGATACAATAATCTCCTATTAAAATAATCATCATATTCCCTTCCCTCCGCCACTAGAACTTTGTAAAAAGTTCGTTTCCACTAGTGATTAATCAGATATTTATGTTTAAACAACATGTGAATTGACTATAAAAAAAACTGCTGCCCCTGCAAATATTTCACATGCATCTAAAAACTGTTTATCTCACTTTGCATTAAAGCTATGGTAAAACGGACAACAAAAACGTGAAACCTGTTTTGCAAAATTGCTGGGAAACTAGTTGAAAAGTGATTTTGCGCATTTACTATCCACGAATGAAGCTTCCCCTGCAACAAATCAGGCTTAACCAAGTTGCGAAAAAGTTGTTGCAGAAACTAGAGAGAAGTTGTACTTTTTGCATCAAAATCTGTCAATGTTGCGCGTTTCAATTACCGACCCAAAGCAGACTTGTTTTGCAGCAAGTGACGTAACTCCTGTGTATGGCGTGACTCCCACGTAATTTTATCCAATTAGGAGTCAGTATTTACGCAACTTGCAACACGGAATCTTATTTGCTACAAGACAGGTTTGATTTATGGGCAATAAAACGCGCAGCATCGCTTTCGAACTCGTTCTGCAGCAATTTGTTGCCCGTTTTACTGTACCTTTAGCCTCGTTTTTAAAGCGAGAGTTTTTGGAACTCGGAAATGGGCTATTATAGCCTGCGATCATGCCCTTCCTATAAAAAAAAAGCCTCGCCTGATCGCGGGTTAAGATACTTAAAAGACGATGAATCATGAGAAACTATTGTTTTACATTATTTCCTTGTTTCTGTTTTGGGGTTTTTGATCATGGTTTGTATTTTTATATTCTTTTTCAGTTTTGTGGTTCAGTTTTGTATTTTTTGGTACGTGTTTCCGCTTTGGGATGTTTATTTCTGTTTTGGGATTTGTACTTCTGTTTTCTGGTAGTGTTTCAGTTCTGTTTTGGGTTTGCTGTATCCTGTTTTTGCATTGACGGCACCCTAAGAAAAAAGAAACAGTCTTTGCATTGTGTTTTCGTTTATTATTTGTAGCAAGTGGAGCAATAAATTACCGTGCACGGATTGGCGTCCACTTTTACGCTTGGTGCACTAAAAATAGCGCTCGCAAAGAAATAAGGTCTTTCCATAACACTGAGAACAGCTATTGTACCACCCTAAAAAGAATAATGCATAATATTAATAATATCATAACATGAAATTTTCAAGGTGCAGTCAAACCTCCCGTAGGCGACCACTGTAAAGGCTAACACTCTGTGGTCACTTACAGAAGTGATGTAACTTTTCTTCTCGTTCACTCAGTGATAGGCTATCCATGCTTGGCCAGCTATAGGTACCCTCAAAGGCATGGCAGGAAAAAAATTTATGTCGCTCAGAAATTTTGTATCAATGACTGATAATTTCAATTTCATTCTGCTTGCCAACGTCATATTTTTTTCCTTTCTAGGTTTATCCAATCACAATGTTCCATGACCCGGATGTTAATCGTGGTTCCCAGGCCCTCGTTGATGCTCATTCCCGTAACTGGCCTATAAACGAATCCTTATGCAGGTAAGAAAAACTGTCAGGTAAATAAAGGTCGCCACTTTAGAAATGAGAAGAAAGCTGAGCCGTGTTAATTTTCTCAAAGATTTTTGAGACAGCAGTACTTTTGTCTCGTCATGCAACGCTCCCATCTGGGACGGTTACTGGGGATAGAGGAAAAATTGCCCATTGGCTGACCGGCGCGTTCCCGGAAACGATCCTAGGGGTCTTGGCGGAAATTAACTCCGCCTAGTTTACTCCTCGTTTATAAACTGGTGAATGTCTTTTTAGATTATACAGTCGAACTATTATTTCGCGGCCACCCTTACTTAAGGATGGGAAAACTGTTAGTTCTGTTCAAAGGCAATCCACTGCTTTCCTTACATAACTTCCTACTACTCTCACGTTCCAAAATGGCGCGTGACAGGGCGTGGTACCCAAGGTGAACAGAAAACCATTCTGTGCCGTTACCCAGGCACTGGTACTCGGGCACCAAGTGAGACATTGTCATAGTGTGAGCCTATACCTGTATGGATTAATGAAAATGAAATTTATTTGTTGATTTATTTCAGCGTCACACGTTACGAGCTGTGCCAGTATCTGAAGTGAAGTATGAGTGGAAAGATAAAAACACTCGTTTTTGGGTGTACGGCCTGGATCACAGAGTGCACGCCCCAGACTACCCCCAACAGTGCTGTTGTGGTTGCACTATAATCTAGAGTAGTCAAAGAATAATGTATAGCATCGGTCAGTTTTTATGTGCAATCCAGACTAATCGCTGGGCGTTCGCGTTTTGTGNTTTACTCCTCGTTTATAAACTGGTGAATGTCTTTTTAGATTATACAGTCGAACTATTATTTCGCGGCCACCCTTACTTAAGGATGGGAAAACTGTTAGTTCTGTTCAAAGGCAATCCACTGCTTTCCTTACATAACTTCCTACTACTCTCACGTTCCAAAATGGCGCGTGACAGGGCGTGGTACCCAAGGTGAACAGAAAACCATTCTGTGCCGTTACCCAGGCACTGGTACTCGGGCACCAAGTGAGACATTGTCATAGTGTGAGCCTATACCTGTATGGATTAATGAAAATGAAATTTATTTGTTGATTTATTTCAGCGTCACACGTTACGAGCTGTGCCAGTATCTGAAGTGAAGTATGAGTGGAAAGATAAAAACACTCGTTTTTGGGTGTACGGCCTGGATCACAGAGTGCACGCCCCAGACTACCCCCAACAGTGCTGTTGTGGTTGCACTATAATCTAGAGTAGTCAAAGAATAATGTATAGCATCGGTCAGTTTTTATGTGCAATCCAGACTAATCGCTGGGCGTTCGCGTTTTGTGCTAGCCTTGGACCAGGTTTTTTAGTCCGGAAGAGGGGCAAAAAATCGACAAGCGAAGCGAGCAGAGCGAGGGACGTTTGAAAGGGAAGGGAAAGGGAGTTTTAGGTGCGAGAGAAACGCGAGGGGCGCGCGCTCCTCGCGTTTCCCTCGCGCCCAAAACCCCCTTTCCCTTTCCTTTCAAACGCTTGCCACGCAGGCTACTTTTATTCAGGAATCAGGAATCGACAACGTGGAATCCGGAATCCAAGCTGGACTGTCTGGGACCCTTACATGGAGCGAGGTGACCATTTTAGTCTGACAAAGTAGAAACGTTATCGAGCGTACACCACATTGATGTACAAAGGAACGTTAGGACAATAAATGATTATTTCAATAATTTGCCTGACTGTGAGTTGTTGCAAAGCTGTCAGTCAGAGATTTTACAGAGAAGTATAGAATTCTACTCTGTATTTTCCCTTACAAAGGGGCAAGTATTTATATATCGGATTTTAGCGTACTTTCGTATATGACCATTGAATCAAGGAGCGTGTTTTCAGCTTGTTTTGTAAAAATAGAGACGAGAGACTGAAAAAAGATGTGATACCAAACTAATATGAAGTTTCAGTAGAACCGCGCGTGAAGTTTGATTTTCTGGACATTGTAAGAAAACCAAGCACTGTAACGGTCCCCTTTCGAATGCATTATTTAGCAAGTTTTGTCCTCAGTTAGAACAAGACAAAGAAATTCGATAGAAAAATAGCCAGTCCCTCTCCGCCGCGCCCACTACATGGCGAAGGGGAGGTACTACATGATCTTTAAGGCTCATGGATTTTTGTCTAAGCTATAATTCGAGGGCTTTTCGGTCTTGTTTCACCAGTATTTTGCTTGGCTTAAAAACAAAAACTGTGCGTATAAACAGTACAAACCCAAATTTGAATTCCGGTCTCAAATCCTCATCTTCTCCCCAGCCCCTCCCCTTGTCTATTTCACCTGGACCACGACGAGGCCGATGTTCGTTCATCCTTGCAGACCACGGTGTTTATTGCACGGAGTTTGTACAGGTATGTGATTGCAGACAGTGAGGTTTGATGTAGAGGATAGTTATTTGTGATGAGAAAAATAGATCACCTCTGACCTGTAGGCGTCGAATGCCCTCAGCAGACTTCCGAAGCGGTTCGAAGGTGAAATCGCGCGAATAACTTAATGCTCTGTGTACCAGCTGACGGAAGGTCTTTATTTGAAGGCTTTTAACGTTTGCCTTTGTTGTTAAAGGAACAAATTGTATGTTTCTTATTGACAAAACACTTTTTCCACGCTAGTAGCTTCAGGAAAATGCTGAGGGTATTGTAATAGTAGAGTTTGAGACAGGTTTCGTTTACAGATGGCATTATATCGCAGCTTCATTTTACAAGTGGAAAACGAAACAATGTCCGTAAATATGAATATTTATCGTGTTTGGAGCCTCATCCATATGCTTGGAGAATCGCAAAATTCAATAGCGTCAGCTGACAACCTCTCAGCTCAGAATATTGAAAGGTAATCATTAATTTTCCGATATTATATTTGCGTGTCCCGCTTATTTCAAGTCAGATGAACCGTGAAAAATCAATGACGTTATAATTCAAGTTGTCTCAGCTCGTACAAATGGTGGAGCTTTATTAATAGACCTAAAAACTGAACTAATCTCGATTAAGTTGCTGAAATAAGGAATGATAGAAAACAGGATCCCTAGCTCTATTTAATTCTGAGCATTCACCAACGAGAAAACGTGTTGTACCCGGAAAAAGTTGTATATTTAATGCACTCCACTCATTTAGCAATAATGAATGAGGCTGAGTAGGATATGAAGAATTATGCAGATCGAGGAGGTTGTCATCCACTGAGGCCAACGGCCAAGGTGGATAACACTCTCCGCGGTCTGCATAATATTTAACTAGCCTCATGGGCTGTTGACTCAGAGGCCATGAGGGTGAGAGGAATAGCCTAGTAGTAGGCTAGTAGTAGCTCAACCAATCAGAACGCAGTAATATTCTTTGTATCCTATGAAAGGCGAATTCATTAATTACTTTAGTATTCATTCAAAATAACTGCTAGTTTGAAAACAAGCTAAAACATGCCCTTCGTCAATGTTAAGCTCACCTCGATAGTGCATGTTTAGAAGATGAGGGGCTGTTCAGGTCTCCATATGGGAGATGTTGTCCATTGAATTGTGTTCTTGCTATGTTTCTAGACAACAGTTCATTGTGAAATGAGTAAAATGTTCCGCCAACTGCTTGGCCATATGTTTTTCACAACCAAAACAACACAACCTCGTCCCCAGGTCTTCTTGTTTAACCTGCAACAGTGCTGCACTTTTGACGTCATCAGTTGATTAATTGCAAAATTCTTCCAAATTTGGTCAACGGTAGCTGGTTATGGTGAATTATGCATGTTCTTTTAGCCAATCAGAAATGGAGAAATATTTTCAATGAATAATAAATCTGTTTACTGATGACTGCCTATTCATTTCTGGAAATTGTGATCGCGAACAAATTTTAGTTGGCCAACATCTATTATGAAATCAAACTGTATTATCTCCATAGTGATTCAATTTTGCCCTGTTCCTTATGCAGATCATTCACAGCAAGAACCTGTCTAAAAAACCTGCATCTAGCACTATGAGTCAAGCCCCTTATCCACCTGGAGGATATGCCTATGGACCAGGACAAGGATATCAACAACCAGGTTATTACATGCCATGCATGACGTCAGGAACGAAATTGAGGCACATATGAGCCTACTGGGACTGGCTTAGGCCTTGTTAGCACTATGCAAAATTTTGTTTGTTTTGCAAAAAAATCTGTCAACAGGAAGCCATTTTTAGTGTCAAGCAACTGTGCTCTACCATGCACTGTGGCCCCGGTGGCTAACTTTTGCAGCCAGTCAAAACTAGAAAATTTTAGGTTTTTCACAGAAATCATCTGCTGAGAGCACCCTGGATTTCACATGCTGAGAGCATTGGGCTCCCTACAATTTTTCTTAGGGCACAGCCATGAATAATTTTTATCCATCCACCAAAATTTTCTCAACTGTCACCAAACNAAAATCAATGACGTTATAATTCAAGTTGTCTCAGCTCGTACAAATGGTGGAGCTTTATTAATAGACCTAAAAACTGAACTAATCTCGATTAAGTTGCTGAAATAAGGAATGATAGAAAACAGGATCCCTAGCTCTATTTAATTCTGAGCATTCACCAACGAGAAAACGTGTTGTACCCGGAAAAAGTTGTATATTTAATGCACTCCACTCATTTAGCAATAATGAATGAGGCTGAGTAGGATATGAAGAATTATGCAGATCGAGGAGGTTGTCATCCACTGAGGCCAACGGCCAAGGTGGATAACACTCTCCGCGGTCTGCATAATATTTAACTAGCCTCATGGGCTGTTGACTCAGAGGCCATGAGGGTGAGAGGAATAGCCTAGTAGTAGGCTAGTAGTAGCTCAACCAATCAGAACGCAGTAATATTCTTTGTATCCTATGAAAGGCGAATTCATTAATTACTTTAGTATTCATTCAAAATAACTGCTAGTTTGAAAACAAGCTAAAACATGCCCTTCGTCAATGTTAAGCTCACCTCGATAGTGCATGTTTAGAAGATGAGGGGCTGTTCAGGTCTCCATATGGGAGATGTTGTCCATTGAATTGTGTTCTTGCTATGTTTCTAGACAACAGTTCATTGTGAAATGAGTAAAATGTTCCGCCAACTGCTTGGCCATATGTTTTTCACAACCAAAACAACACAACCTCGTCCCCAGGTCTTCTTGTTTAACCTGCAACAGTGCTGCACTTTTGACGTCATCAGTTGATTAATTGCAAAATTCTTCCAAATTTGGTCAACGGTAGCTGGTTATGGTGAATTATGCATGTTCTTTTAGCCAATCAGAAATGGAGAAATATTTTCAATGAATAATAAATCTGTTTACTGATGACTGCCTATTCATTTCTGGAAATTGTGATCGCGAACAAATTTTAGTTGGCCAACATCTATTATGAAATCAAACTGTATTATCTCCATAGTGATTCAATTTTGCCCTGTTCCTTATGCAGATCATTCACAGCAAGAACCTGTCTAAAAAACCTGCATCTAGCACTATGAGTCAAGCCCCTTATCCACCTGGAGGATATGCCTATGGACCAGGACAAGGATATCAACAACCAGGTTATTACATGCCATGCATGACGTCAGGAACGAAATTGAGGCACATATGAGCCTACTGGGACTGGCTTAGGCCTTGTTAGCACTATGCAAAATTTTGTTTGTTTTGCAAAAAAATCTGTCAACAGGAAGCCATTTTTAGTGTCAAGCAACTGTGCTCTACCATGCACTGTGGCCCCGGTGGCTAACTTTTGCAGCCAGTCAAAACTAGAAAATTTTAGGTTTTTCACAGAAATCATCTGCTGAGAGCACCCTGGATTTCACATGCTGAGAGCATTGGGCTCCCTACAATTTTTCTTAGGGCACAGCCATGAATAATTTTTATCCATCCACCAAAATTTTCTCAACTGTCACCAAACTTCAAAGATGCTGTCAAGAACATTTTGGAGGCAGCCAAAAAGCCTACACTGTTTTGTCAGAGAACAAAATCCTTTGTTCCTTGGTCTTCCTTGACGGCTATCATTCATCGGGGCATGTTATTTCTCGAAAATAACCAATTAGAGTTCCTTTAATTGACATTTCTGGTTATACGGAAAATTTTACTTGTCTCAGATGCGAACAAGGCTGCAAAAATAAAAGATTGGAAATTTCTTGCAAACGCCAAACTCCATTTTTAGTCGTAGTGTGAACAGGGCCCTATGTAAAAACTTGATCTGTGCTGCTTTTTTAATTTGTTGAATTACAAGTCGCTGACTATCTAGTCCCATAATTATTGTTACATTGTAAATCTTTTCTTCCCCTTGAAGTCAGTTAATGTCTCCTTTTCCACAAATTTTGGATTTATGCAGGGTAATTCCTTAATGCCATGCGTGCCTTACCTAACCATATGCATTTTGCTCATATTTGTTATCGTTAATTTCCAGGTCAGCCACAAGTTGGTTTTGCCCCTCAACAGGGTTATGGTCCTGCGCCCCCTCAACAGCAAGGATATGGATCTTTTAATGTTGCTTTTGAAGGTAAGGACAAATTTCAAGTGCTTTTTAACCATGCCTTAATGTTATGTCAGTGTCTCTAGCACAATTTGTAGGGTGTGAGGGAAGTAGCTTCAAGCAAATACAGATCCCAGGGTTGGGGCTATTTTGGTATAGAATGTTGGGGAGGTGCAAAACCTCTTTTTGTGGGTTGGGGATGGGGGCTGTTATCAGGAGCTGTGTGGAAAATGACGTCCTCTGTTCTGTTCTGTTCTGTTCTGTTCTGTTCTGTTCTGTTCTGTTCTGTCCCCACCTGGCTGGAGGTGTGCCAGGCTGTTGTGAGGGAGTTCTTTTACTCTCAAAAAAGATCAATTATTATTATTTTAGTCCCTCAGCCTCATGATCCTTTTTTTTTGTTGGGGCAGGGTAGGGGAGTTCCTGAAGCCTCCCCCCCCCACTCCCAGATCCAAGATGTATGTGTAACTTTTGTCATAATTATCAACAACTGCAGGAAGAGTTGATCGGCCCACATACACAGGATCAGATGTTCCAGTTCAGGATGTTTTTGATAATCAGTTTGCCAAGGCTCCAGTTCCTTCTGCTCCACCTGCCGATATGTTTGCACAATACTCTGGTTATGAAAATACAAGGTTTGGTAAGTAACATCACATGTATTCAACCCTAGGCTAGAAAACAATTATGTATAATATTTGTCGATCTATTTTTCTATGATTTTCTTATTATGCTGTTTAGTAACTACATTTTATAACCAGGAATGAAAGTAGTACTGACACGTATAATCTGTCAGTCACAAGCCAGATTGTTTTTTTTATTTATTTTTTTATTATTATTATTTTCAGGCAGTTCATTTGTGCCACCTCCACCTCCATATGTTCCTCCACCTTCCTC